CTCATGTAATGGTACAAGATCCCAATGATGAATGTAACTGTATTGTATACCTAAAATGTACCAATAAAGTTAATGGGGAAAAAATATATCTTATGTATTGCAAATTACAGTAATAAAATTTTTTTAACAAGTTATCATGCCCTTCATTGAGAGGAACTTCCACAAAAGAGTTCACTTAGTAAAAGTGAATCTAAAGTGAGCCAGGAGCAAAGTGTGTGTATTTATCCAGGGTGTGAGCCTGCACAACATCTACAGCGGTGAGTGTGATTTGAGTGGGGCAAGAGGAAGCCAGGCCACTGCCAGGTGCTTCACAACTCACGAACCCCAAAGCTCTGCAGCCCAGAGAGACCCAGAATCTTCAGCCACCTTCAAGAGAGGACGGGGCGGGGGCGGGGGGGCTCTTTGCAGACTCTGGCGTTTCCTGAGCTTTTTTTTTTCTTTCTTCAGTCCTGGATATTGAACCCAGGGCCTCTGCAGCGAACTACATCCTCCATCCTCACCGTGTTTACTTTGAGATTGAGTCTCAGTAGGTGGCCCAGGTTGGGCTCAAATCTGCAGTCCAGGTGCTGCCTCAGCCTGCCAGAGTGCTGGGATCACAGGCTTGAGCCACCACACCCAGTGAGCCTAAACTTAAAGTACACATTTTGCCATTCTACAGGTGCCTAGGGCAAATGTCTATTTGGTGCTACCAATTTAGGATAGCTTGAGATGAACCCATTTTTTTTAACATTTCACAGCTGACTCCAAGACAGCCAAGGACACCCAGGAGAGTAGGCTGAATGATCACTGCAATCTACTTGGGACTGAGGGTTTCCTAGGATTTTTAGGGTTAAAACCAGGATAAGCAGTCACCCTACAGTGAAATAACTTGGAGGTAATGTTTTTCTTAAGTAATATTTGCATTTCTTGGTGATTTTTGAGTGCACACAGCCCTGAATTAGCCATAGTGTTTTCCCAAGGAGGAATCCTTTGAATTGAAGATGGCAGTAGGAAGGTGGGGAACCCTCTATTGGGAGGCTGGAGGCTGCACTCAGCGCAACTGCCTCCCTAAGGATGTCCAAGGACAAGGGAAGATGGGATTCGGTAACCAAACCATTTTCTTTGTGATTGTGGCTAAGCTCCATGAGCTAAGGTTAGTGCTCCATTGTTAACCCATCTCAGAGCTCATATTTGACTATTAACTTTCCCTTAATTAGTCTTTATCCTGGTATGTCTGTAACACTTCTTTGTGTCCATCTGTGGAAATCTTATGGGCTAAAGTCAATCATTCTCTGCTCTGGAAGCCTACCTTCAATTCTGGGAAGAGTTAGCCTTCTGTGGGCCTCTGGAATATGTCTATGGTTTAGTACATCTCACACTATATGACAGTTAGCTATTTATCCTTCTTTCTGTTCAACAGTAATTTAAATACGGTAGAGACTGGGGAATCTTTCTAATCCAGCAAAGAGAAGGCACCCAAGTTAGTTACTAACCAAACCAAGCTGTCATGTAACAAAGGATTCTGTTAGTGATAAGAAAGCCCTGCTAGGACCCTCCTGCCACTTGGAATAAACGATCAGGTGTATAATAAATTATATGCATCTTAAATTACCTTCCAAATCTGGTCCTGAGATTCCTGATTTTATTTTGCTTGGGAGATAGACAGAGTAGAGAAGGAGGGTGGGGGATGCTGATGGAGTGAGGGGACAGAGGAGGGTAACTCATTTTGCATTCCCAGGAGGGGTCATCGGTGCTCAAGGGGCTCTCGGTCCCCGTGCTGCTTCTGGGAGCCATTCCCCTGTCTCTGTGCACGACTGCTGCTGGCCTGCAGCCCCTCACCATCTTCATCACATTCCCCGGGGGCCATGAGGACCACTGCTGCTGCAAATGCAGCAAGCTCCAGCACCCAGACGATCCCATGCCCCTAGCACCCAGTCTTCCCTTAGCCAAAGGCTACTTGGGTAGGATGATGACCAGCTCCCTTACTAGGTGCTATCCTCACAGCAGAACCCAGGAGCAGGCAGGAGTTGGACCTTGGCCTTGGCCACAGTTGTATTCTGGCCTCTTTCCTCCCAACTTACTTCTTCCACACCCTCTCTGGGTTCCTTCCCAGAGGGCTTCTTTAATAAAGTACATGTACATCCTGGTCTCCACATCTGCTTCTGGAGATCCCATCCCAAGATAAGATTTTGATTCTGGCTCCCTAAGGCACACTTCTGTCTAGGAAGCCAGAGGAAAGCAGGTCCTCCACTCCAACCTGCAGAGTCTGGAAAGGATTGACAAGCACACTCTTCTCTCCATGATTCACCTGCATTTCCAGGGACTTTTCCAAGACAAGGACTACAGCAACAAACCAGAAGCAACTGGTCATACCATGCATGACCCTTGGGCACTCTTGAAGCTGGTGGCATCTTGTGCAGTGCTTATAAAGTTATACGAATTGACTCAACCCTTTATAAGTAGCTCCACACCTAACACCACCAAAGCAGAATCTATCCAAAGGTAAAAATCTTTCAGTTTCTTCTCATCACACTTCAAGGTTTTATATGTCCCTGTCCAAGCCAAGGTGAGAATAGAGGGCACTATAGCAATTTTTAAATTTTTTTTGGAAAATATTCTTAGGAAACAGATATCTTTTAAAAGTTGGTGCTTTTGAAGATTTCTGCCCAGTACTCAAATGTTTTCTCAGGTCTTCATTTTTAGATGTATATTTTAATTTTTATTTTAGCTGTATATTTGTATTCAAATTTGACACATTACGTCTTCCTTTCAATTAACTGCCAGAGAGAGAGAGGAAGAGAGAGAAAGATCAAAAAGAAAGAAAAGAGGAAGAAAGGAAGGAGGGAGGGAGGAAATTAAAAATGTACGGAATATTCATGTTTGTTTGTTTTAGGCTTAAAGATTACTACCATTAACCATCTTCAATGACAAATTGGTTGGTGATGTTTTTAATGTAATCTTACACAGTAAATTTCAGATCTTCCTCCTAAAAACCAGACTGGGAAGCAGGATTTACTCACAGGATGGGAAAGGATTGAGTGACACAAAATATTTATTACCAGGATTAAAATTGTTCACTATTTCTCTCACTTAGCCTCAGAAATTTCCAGAAATACCTGGACAGATCATTCTGTTACTAAAACATCCAAAATAAAGTCTGTCCCTCATGACCGAGGTCTCATAGAGGGTTCTTCTAGAATTTTCCTAAGCTCCCCGTTGCCCTCCAGTCATCCATTCATAATGCTTCACCTCCTTTGGCAAGTCCTGTCAGATTGGCATCCTCAAGATCTAATTGCTGACATATTACCAAATTTAAAAAAAAATAGGTAAACAGGACTGTGATGAAGAACACTGTCTTAACATTTAACTTTCGTTTATCCTATCCGTACTCCTAAGGACTTATTTTCTTCCATCAGCGTGAACAAGTATCAGCTCTTTCATGGATGGTCCTGTAGGATCTCGGGCTCAGCCAGAGTGTCAGGTTGTGATTGTAATTCCTACCGTGTATCCCGGATGCTCAAAGGAGTCTATGTGCCTGTCCACAAAACATCTGTGAAAAATGTGGAGCAGTGGAACGTCCATGAACCGACTGGGAGAAGAGCTATTGTTCTGTTGCTCTGTGATTTTGGACAAATCACTATCTCTGGCTTCCGTTTCCTGGCCCTTAAAAGATGACTAATCATGCTACTATTTTGATTCAAACATCAAATTAATGCTTTTAAAAGTTTTCTACATTCATTAAGGAGTAGTCAAATGTTAGTTTGCTCATGGAAGTTGAGGCTGGGAATATTCATTAAATATAAGAAGATAAGAATTGAAGTTTAACTGCAATAAATCATATCCTCCATTCATAATCTTTTTTTTGGGGGGGAGGTACTGGAGATCAAACTCAGGTCCTTGTGCTTGTGCAGCAGGTGGCGAAACCACTGAGCTAAATCCCCAGCCCTCCATTCATAATCTTTTATCTGTATACTTTTCTGAAGGTCTATGGTGTGTCAAATATCTCTGAAAAGATGATATTTGGTAATCAAATCGGGAGTGGTCAAGTTCCAAAACAGAACAGAGACAGGAAATGATAGAGTTGGGATGGTTTCACACGGTACAAAACAGGAAGGACACTGAGGCACAGAGGTCGGCTCGGGCCACATTCGAGGAGGACACCCTGGGCAGGGACCACATGGCTAAGCCTGATCGCTGGTGAGGAGTTGGGTCTTGAGAAAGAGCAGACAGAGAACCTGTGAGGCAGGCGACACACAATGTGTCCCCCCTGCCTTTGTGACTGAAAGCCCTTGCACCCCTGGGCACTGCCTGTGGGCCAGGGGAGGGGTGTCTCCTTAGGGGAAGCTCCCCTAAGTCTCCTTAGGCTCCCCATACACTATGTCCCAGGAGGCAGGAAAGCACATGGGTCACAGACAGACCCCTCGACACGGTGGCTGCAGGGAGCCCCTTGGTGGAGGAAGGACACATTGCTGGCTTCCAAAGGACACTCACAAGGTCATTTCCAGACCCCAAAGGCCTCCCCTCACTTGTCCGCTCCAAGGACTTCCAGCTATTTATCATAAAAATGTCAGACTCTGCAAGAATGTTAGAGCCAGGTTCTGACATGATTCCCACAGCCCAATTCCCACTGTCCATCCACAAACACCCAGCATTACCCACACCTCTCCAACTAGTTTACGTTTGTTCAGGAAGGAAACAAAGGCAATAGAAAAATCAAGGTGCTAAACACAGGAGTTCCCTTGTGTGGGACTGGACTGTGGGATTTAGGCATGGTCTGCCCCTGAGTCCTGTCTCCCCAGGAGTTGTGGATCTTTGTTAATGTCCCTTGGGGTGAGAAGGGCAGGTAAAGGAGAACTTGTTGGAAAAGATAATCTGGTTATTTATTTATAGTTCACATGGCAAAGAGTCCTTTAAAAAGGCGTTGAAAAGGGTGGCCAAAGTTTCTTCAAAGATTAACTGACCTTATTTAATCTTTTATACAGGTGTCTGGAGGGCTGAGGCTGGGACCTTAAGAATCCTGTGCTGGTCCGTACATTTCCTCAGGACTGTAAGATACACGGTGACATCATGGACTCTTTTCTCTGATATTCTCTCTCTCTCTCTCTCTCTCTCTCTCTCTCTCTCTCTCCTTTCCTCCCACCCTCCTTCTCTGTCCCTCCCTCCTCTGCCTAATCTTTCTCAACTTCTTTCTTTCTGTCTTCAGTTCCTTCAGGTAATTCCTACTCAGACTTGTACCAACTTGTTTTTGACTGACAGTGAACAGCGAGAGCGCTCCCTCTGCCCCGTTTCACTGCTCATTTCTCTGCCTGCCTTAACTTCTCATCCAGCCAGGAGCCTTCGTGCATCAGGCTCTGCAGGTAAGAAGCACACTCTCTGGCAACACCAGTGCTGGCTGCAGGCTGGAGATGTGTTTGAAAAACTTTACTTCTAAAGGTAATGAAAAAGTTGCAATTCTTTGAAAACTTACTTAAATCATTCAAGGCATCCATGCTTATCTGGGGGAATGTACAAGTGCTGTTTGCATGTGAAAAACGGGTTTTTCCTTAATGATGGGGCACAGCGGAAAAGAGCCCTTTCTGCTTGCCTGTGAAACACTACCCAGATGTTGTCTAGCTGGCTGTGGGTGGAATGGATCTAGATCACAGGAGAATTACTTTGACTCCTTCTGGCAAGTGCTTTTCTGTCACAGTGTCTGTTTGCTATTGATTGTCAGCGATTATATAGTTCTCTGGCTAATTTTTTGGCAGTAGTTTTCTTTTGTTGGTGGTGAGATCAGTTTAGGTTGCTGTAAGGCGAAAGCTCCACCGGAATATTTTAAAATCTGTTACCTATCCTTATGAGAAAAAAAGTTATGTAAGTTTTCTGTGCAGTAGGTATAAGGAATGTAAACAATTCTGACTTTGCAAACCTTCTGAACTTTGTTCATGATCCATGAATAACGCTTTTTATAATCTGTGTATAATTTCATGTGAGTTTAGACTATCCTGAGCTTGTAAATGTTATACTGCGTGATATTTCCACATAGCTCCTGTAAAGTCTACTTGCATCTCCTTGCTGCACTTCCCAACTTAGCCATTTAGTTGCCTGAAGGAGATCAGAATTTGTTGCCTTATAGACATTTCTTGACCTCACTATTTTGGTTAGAAAATGTACAAAAAACAAAACAAAACAAAAAACCCTGCAGAACTTTTTAGAAAACTAAAGACAAAAATCTCTACCCTAAAATTCACAGGTTCAGATATATTTTTTATCTGAACACATCTTAACTTTTTTCCCTCTTGACCTTTAAGAAGGATTTTGAAAAAGTTCACAGTGACTCTTAAAGTTCTTACTTTGCAGCCTGGGGATCACACACAATCAACTGTTATTCCAGGTCTTTTCCTGTTTTTTCCTCTCTTGAAAGTTTAAGTAAATAGGTCACAATCAGTAATAGCCTTAGGCGATAAATTCTCTCCAATTAAAAATTGTCCATAAAAGTAAGCGTCACATACAACTGGAATGCACTTTTAAATATCATTCTTTTGTGAAATGTACACATTATAGGGACTGCCAGCTCAACAATGAGGCACGCTTACCTCGAACACTGCTTCGCTTCGCCGGGCTCTGCTCTTCCCATCCCTTCCTGGGGTTTTATTGGTCTGCTTTCCTGGCTGTCATATAATAAACTGATCATGGAGGGAGAGACCCAGAGATTGTCTTGGACATCAGCACCAAAACACTGGATGGGGGCAGTGTTTAGCCAGGTCTCCAGAGGTCCTATCACAGAAATGTTTTCACTGGATTAAATAAATGCAGAAGTAGTTTGGGAGTTTTAGAGAGATCAGCAGTGGAAGTCTGTGAGTCTGGTTTTAAAGGAAAATGCATTTCGAAAGATCCCTCCCTCTCTCTGACTACCCCTCCCTTGCACCGTCCGTTGTGGCCACTTTGCAGAAAGTGCTGCTTCCTCGGTTTCCTCTCCTTATGCTTCTAACCAGTGCAGACAGCCGTCATTGGGGGGAAAGAGTGTGAATCCCCAGGTTTCGCATGCCAGTGGTCTGGGAGCTAACAAAAGCAAGTCTTTTGGCTCCTTCCCTGGGGGCTGAGCAAGCCCTGCCTCCTGCTTGGAGGAAATCTTGAAAAGTTGAGTGTTCTTGTTTCGGGGCGTGCATGCGTGTGTGTGTGTGTGTGTGTGTGTGTGTGTGTGTGCACGCGCGCGCACAGCTGCATTGGAATCTTAGAAGCAACTGTGCAGAGGGTGAGCCACAAACAGAGTGTGTCTGAGTGACCAGCCCTGGGCCATGCTCACGCAACGGCTGCTCACCTCTGAGTCATTTCCTTCCATCTTCAGTACAGCGCTGCCCCTGCAGTAGCTGCAGCACTTCCCACCAGATCAAGTCAGGTGTCTCTAAATATGTGAATTCTTCTTTCAAGTAAACATAACTCTCTTGCAAAATGAACGTGTTGCAAAAATGAATGTTAGCTTTCATGTTTGCAAACAAGAGTACATGGTTTATTAACGGGCATATGCAAAGGGAAACTCAGAGAGCTTGCTCACTATCTAGCCTTCTCTCTCGTCTAGTATGAGGTGGGCTGTGGCCAGCGAGGCCTGTACTGGCACAGTACAGGTAAGAGTGAGCCAAGAGCAGCCCTCAATTTGTGCCTCTGGAGGACAAGTGTGACCCAGCGCACCTGGCTCTCTGCTGCTGCTCAGGTAGCTTCCTGGGCCAGCTATGTAGACAGGTAAAGGAGCTGTGTGGCCAGGCAGAAGTTCAGAGGCAAACAGCCCCAGAAAGTCCAAATCTTTGAAACTTCCCTAAGCTAAAGGAACAAAGGGAATCCACTCCCCACTTTTAAAGGGAGAATTGAGGGCAGAAAAGGAGATAAACTAATTAATTATTTATAAGCAAGGGTTTGGGGAAAGAAATTTTATTTGCTGTGTTACTTTGTTGAGACAAAAGGAAAAAACTGAGAGCATAGGGATTCCTAATAAAAGGCAAGGCAAGATAGTTGAACGTGACAAATGTAATTTGCAAAATGCTACCTGTTCCCACTCACCCAGTGGTGGGGGATCTCGCCTGCACACAGCTGTGTTCTTTCCATAAAGAGAAGGTCAGGGCTCTAGGAGGAGGGTAGGGATCAGCGCTCCCTCCGATGGCATAGTGCCCTAGCTGGAGAAGTTGTCAATAAACCAATAATTAGCACAATGTGATTTGATTCCAGAAATTCATGCCTGGCTGAATTCTAGGACATAGTCTGTGTTTCTCACCTAAAATTGTATAGCATAAAATTCCAGCTACTTTAGTCATAATAAGAAGACAGATCAAGGTTGCCTGATGATGCTCACAGCAACAGAAGATACACAAGAAGAGAGCCAGGGCCTGTCATTTCCTTCAGTCTTTAACACAGCAGAGGTGCGGCCCCGTCTTTGCAAGAATGAATGCTAACTTCCATGTTTGCAAAAAACAAACAAACAAACAGAAAGAGTGTGTGGCCTAATAAAGGGCAAATGCAAGAAGCAAACCAGACAGGTACAAAAGCACACATGTGCCAACCACCTGCCTCATGTGCAGAAGGAATTAGTTAAGTGAAGAGTATGTCGGTGCCTCCTCAGACTGAGCATGTAAAGCGCAGCTGTTAGGAAGAATTAGCGACGGAATAAGCAATCTCTTCTTTGTTTCTCCCCTATGACCTTGCAGCTCAAATTCAGAGCACTCTTGATAGCAGTGATCCACATTCAACAAAGCAAAGAGTCCTTTCTGTCCTGGGCTGGGCAAAAGTCACAGTGGCATCATCTGACCCTCACTCAGGCACAGGAGTTTGGGGTGAATGGCATCCTGGGGATGGCAGACCATGCCCCTAGGGTTACAGGACACCCTGACCATTGCAGTAGAGAGGGCATGACTCAGAGGAGGAGCACAGCAGTGGGGATTCCGGGTACTCAGAGGACACAGGGGTCTGGGCTTGTTCTCATGCAACCCCATCTCAGTTGGAGCTGCCCCAGTATCGAGCTGACGGTGAGATTCTTATGCATTTTCTGCAGTGCTGATATCAGAGGCTATTCAAGATTTTATAGAACTTAAGGTTATATCATTTGTGGTTTTCTTTGAGAAAATAATGAATGCAAAATTGTGACTGTAAGATTAGGATGAGGATTTGGAGATGACCTGTCCCTGTAAGGAGCCCTGGAGCTAGAATATCATCAGTTTCATAATAAATCTATTCAGTGTCTTGCACAATAAAGACCCAACATTCATTTCTTGAGTAAAGGGATGAAATGATCTATGCAAATGTTAGCCTTCTAAGTAACTCTGAGAAAGAATAAGCAAACACACCGTGTAGTGGTGCTTTGACAGATCTAATGATCAGCGATAGAAAACTGATCTAGATAGCTGGAACATTTCTCATGTCACAGGCGTGTCACTACGAAGGGTCAATTCATGCACTATGACTTGATATTTAGGCCATATCTAGGTTCCAGGGTAAGATGCTGTCAGAGCTGTTTTTCTTTTTTTTCCCCCCTTAAATTCTTTTATTGGTACATTTTAGGTATACAATATGTTTACATTCATCATTGGGATCTTGTACCTATACATGATGCATCTTGGTTCTTATTTTTTTCCCCTTCCCCTGCCCTCCCTTCACCCCCTCCACCCTTCCCTATTTACAAAGACTTTGTTCCCATTTTTTCCTTTTCTCATA